TCAGGATGCCATTCAATTCTAATTGGATTTGCTTCCAAAAAGTTCAGCTCATCCAGACTGGACTGCAGTTTTGACCTCGTCTTTACCTCATCAGCCTCCCAACACGATTCGATATTGGGTCATGAATATTATGACCATGTTGTCACTCCACTCCACATCCCGTCAGGGATGCTGATAAGACCCAGACGAAGTCGAAACTGCAGTTCACTTTGAATGTGATAAGCTTTTTGTAAACATGTCCAAGCATAATTCAATGGCATCCTGAGGACTACACATCTAAAGTTAAGAAAACTCATCAATCAGTCATTACTACTTATGACAATTATTGAAACGAGATTGTATGATTGCACATTTCCTACTCACCGATATGTGATCTTGATCGAATCGAGCCGATCCGCTTCTGAACCACTGGCATCTCATCGTGTGGAGTAGTGAGCGTTTTGGAAGCCCCCAGACCGACCATATCAGAGTCGTGTGATGGATGCCGCTCATAGCCTTCAGACAGTGGATTAGCTTTGGTCCGACTGCGTACCGTGAACACGGGGGCAGCGGATGATGTATCCGTGACGACTGTCGCCATACGAGTTGGTGACAGCTTCGAGGCTGCCTCCAACTGTCGGACAGACTGTCTACTCGGATCCACGACAATGTTGGTGCTAGTGGTGGTATCTTTGGAGGCCGAAGTGACGGCGATTGTGGCCAGATTGTCCGTCAATGAGGTCTGGAAGCCCGAGCTGGCCTGACTGCCTCGACGGACTCCGCGGGCCCGACGGTCAGTCAGTACAACCAAGGGGCTGTTGCCACCAATAGACGGACAGATTGAAGCAAGACCCGAGTCAGTGGCGCTACTCTGCGAGCTATGAACATCAACAGCTCCAACAGAAGCGACAGATGCAGTAGCAGTAGCAGTTTTGAAACCGATCGGGGGACTAGAGGAATCGCTCAACTCTTCCGACGACATATTGGTACCATCCGCTGGGGGTGAAGCAGACTGGGGCAGCAAAGATTGACCGATATGGTTGCTCGAATGAAGAGTTTCGACATAAGCCAAAGCACGCGATTTCGGTCCCTCTAAAATGGGGCCTGTCGGTCATTAGCGAGAATAATGAGAATAATTAACGTCTGTGGTCCAGGTTGCATAATTTATTTCCATTTAACCTTACTAACAAATAAGCCTTCCATTTTAAACACAGCATTTTGCCGGGATTTCTAAAAACCTGACACTCTTGTTGGAAATAAATTATGTTATTTCATTTAAGAACATTTCTGTAGACGGTTATCTGACGCTATGCATCAAAAAGGCACTCAACAAGTAATAAGCTATAATAAATCGTTAATATGAAAATAATAGAAATTGTATATTATCATCATTTTTTACCTGCTTGTAGACTAAAATCAAGAAAAAGTCAAATTAAATGTCAAAAATAGCATTTTCAGATTATTTTTATAGATGGTGCAAGAAGGACAAAAGTTCTGCCTATTTTATCCCGTGGACTGCGTAAACCTGAATACTGTAGCAAAGTTAAGTGACTGCAGTACAACGGGAATCAACTGTCATCTCCTGGTGAGATCGACCTACGAAATTTTTCAACAAACACTTTACAACATAATGAGAGTCCCTACAATGGCTTCTCAGGCAAGTGATCAAAGTCCAGTTGCTTTTGGTATATATAATTTATGCCTCCAAGGTAAAAAGTTCCTTGCAGAAACCTCGCCTTGAACTCTGCAATAAAGGACTTGGCAGGACTAATGAAAACATTCTATATTCGATCCTAAAAATTGACGGCAATCAGCACCAAGAGTGTCCGTAAAAAGAATAAATGTCAATAAGTTGAGGGTAATTTGGTAAAAGAATCGACGAAGAAGAAAGCAGCAAATATATTTACAAAGTTATGAATACCAAGATGGTGTGACCCTCGGTAAGGTTGCAGTCTCCTTTCAATTTAGAGAAGTGGGTTAACCTCGTTTTCGAAACTTGGTCTTGTTATGTACCAAGTTTACGGTCTGATGCTTGGAATTATGATAACTACTATGGCAGAGGAGTTCGGATAAGGTGTGTTCAACTAAGTCGCCCTGACAACAAGACCATGTTGTAAATATATTTACAGTTTGTTCTTCGTTTTCTCCTGTCTAAAAAGACAAACTATGCAAACAATTTCAAATTGGGATAACAAAGGTTGGTGCAACACAAGTATTGAATATATGAAATGGATACACCCTGTTTCGTTTAAGATGATAAGGAGACTGGTAGTTGAATTTTCTAACAAAGATATGAGTAAACCTTGCGTAACCTTGCTTTCCCGAAAGAAATCCTCATCCAGGGTAGACTTCAATCTCAACCTTACTTAGGTCTCATCAGCACCTTTAGCGGGACTCGAAACATGGTAGTGCAGCACATAATCTCGACACGTTAAACATTATGTTACATTGCCCTGAATGCCTTTGGGTGACAGGGAGGATGTGAATTTAAAGGAAATGCAGACATTTTCCCATATTACATTCTATGATGGGATTATCGATGCAGCAAAGCTGTATTTACTATAGCAATCGACTAAATGGATTTTAGAGAATACTAGTATATCATATATATGAGATGCATTCGCTATAGTTCATTGAAAGCCTCAAAAACCTACATATTAACGAAAAAAGGGTATCGAATTATTTAATAGTCTGAAACACGAACTTCAAACACCCAATTTTAGTTGGACTCGATTCACGTATTCCAGGAAGAGATTTAAGAAAAAAACCGGGGTCTAGGCAGAGGCCAGAATAAAAAATGGTAATTGGGAATTTATTAACTTCATATGTGCAGTATCTTGTGAACGAGCTGTCAGAAAAACATATGTAATTGCTATGCAGCGCCTGGGTATGTCCACATCACAGGTGAGTAAGCCTGATCAAATGGATCCAGTTTAAACCTCTACTTACATCGAAAATGTATGAAGAAAAATCAGGCCAGATGTTAATGTGACATTAATTTCCGTATAAAATGAAAAGGTGAAATTAGTGGAGTAATCTCACAAGAAACCGAAGTGAAGTGAGGATTGTTGGATTGAATAGGGCAACCTTTCTTCGTTTTCTGGTGAGACTAATTCATGAATTCCTTACAATCACATTTTTCTTCAAAATTCTAAATTATGTTTCGATTAATCACCATGGGATTCATCAAAACCCCGCTTTTTTTTATTGGTCAGATAATACCCTTTTAAAAGAGTCATAATCACATGTCTAACAATAACTGCACACGCAGAATACATTAACCAAAGTAATGATACTATAAAAGCGTAGTTTAAAAAAGCTAACTACTGTAATATTTTACAACTCAAATACTCCTTAAAAAGATTTATAGCCTGCACCTGAGCTACACATCCACTTGGCGGCTACAACAGTATATAGGCTATGAAAGAAAGAGGAATCTGTGGCCAAATATTCGAATACGGCAGATCAGGGGCTGATCCATATTGATAAAACAACATGTTTATACTGGAGTTATACAAGCCTAAACATAT